GATTTGAAGAGAGTGAGGTTGTTTTGTACAGTAGGAGAAGCATCACTTGTTCCTGTTTGGATCTGAGAGAGTATTTTTTGTATGGTTACATCTGACTTTTGAATATTCTCATCAGAGTTAAAACAAAGTGCTAGCTTTTGCGTCTCAAAGAAGCATTCTCGCTCGTGATCAAAATTAATATTGGGAATGTCCATTTTTCTTATTGAAGATCGATTGAGCCCAGAACAATTCTCTGACAGGTTAAAATACTGCTCAACGAGAACGTCTTCAATGTTGATAGACTGGATATATTCTTGCAAGTGTTTTAGAAATGGTTCTTTCGTTCGTTTTTTAAGGAAGGCTTTAAACTTTTCTAAATTGTTTTTGTGCATGAACACAGATATAGTAACTGAAATTTTAGCCTTATTGGCTTTAGAAATCCCAAACCCTGAAAAACTGTTCGATGAAAGTACATCAAGATCTTGGTCCTCCATACCAGGTCCAAATCGTTCAACATGTACCTTGTAAATTATTTCTAGGTTCCTTCGATAAAGTAGACTCATTTTGACGTACTTTAAATCCAACTTCTCATCTTCAGCTTTGAACTTGGATAATTTGTCTGTTGGATTAGTATATTTGATGTCAGTGATTCTAAACCCTTGGATAGCTCGCTTTTTCAAAATTGGGTCTACGCTTGACATGGTCAGATTATAGGTTAATACGTCATACTCAAAGAAATTCTTTCGAATATCTTTCTTGATTGAATCCGAAGGTATGCTAGGAAAAATACTCCCCTCGCTAGCTGATAAAATCAAGCTTTCGTTGTCTGCAATCAAGATTGACGGAGATTTCAGCAATAGCCCATATTGAAGTGCTTTTGTCTTTTTTTTTTCGTTCATTTCGTTTTCTGAGTTTGACATGTAATCAAAATCTATGTAAACTCCATCTGTACACGCTACCAATGATTCGATCAATTCGGAGTCAGGCACATAACTATAAAGATGCCCGTGCCCATTGCTTTGGGAAGTAATGTTTAAAATAGCAATACTGACGTCACGTTGATTGATATCAAACACAATGTCTGAGTTCAAGTCTGAAAGGTTGAACACGCTGTCACTAACTAACATTAATATTGGACATGCGTCAGGAGGAAGGAATTCCAATGCTAAAAGAGAATCCTTAACATATTGACTAAATTTTAAATTTGTTGCCAAATTATCGTTAGCCTTAGAATTTTTGAGAGATGTAGAGGCTAAATTCTCCAGGTCACACAATTGTTGATAAATTTTCCCAAGCATTTCATTCAAGTTATATGTGGTAATGTGACAATCTTGAAATAGAGAAAAAACAGGCCTTCCTGCCATACCGATTGCAACACAAGTAACGTGAATCTCTGGAATGATCTCACCATTATAATTAGGAATGGTTAATGGCTGAATTAAATGTGTAATTACGTTAGATATGGCAACAAAAACCCTGTCAAACAGAACTTCTCCTGTTGTTGGGTCCATTGCAAGCATTGAAGGACTAACATCTATCGTTAACACGAGTCCGTACTTGGAATAAATAGTATGAACGAGAGTGCTCGGTAGAAGCTCCATGTTATGTTCCTCTGAGCCAAACAACTCTTCATTGGATGCTATTGAACTAATTTCAAGGCTATTGAAAGATTCATGAAGAGTATGATGAACCCCTTTAGGAGATGAAGAAAATATCCCACCTTGGTCACCATAAAGATGAGAGGGTAATATTACAACTCCACCTTGATTATTATTACTACCGTTGTAATGAATTTGGTCAATACTAATGCTTCTAACAATTCCATTATTTGTTGCTTGATTTAATTGGTCTATGCTCATACTTCTTGGAAGTGATAACTCTCCAGGAAATGGATGAGTAATGCCATGATGATATTGGCTGATAAGAGAATCTTCGGACATGGATGGTGAATTTTGGATGGAAGAGTTTATCCGTTCATTAGTGTATTCAGGTGTATTAATTGATGAAATGATACTAGAAGATGTAAATCCAACTACCGATTCATCAAAGGAAGGATGAGTGTGATGATGAAAATGTGATGATGGCATATCCAATAAGTGGATGTTATTTCGTAAAAACCTATTCTTTCGCATAGAAAGCTCCTTCTGATGCTTTACGGATGATGCAATAACTTGGATATTTCGTGTGCTTAGAGAGGGTGATGAAGGAGAAGGTACATGAGATGAATTCATACTGTGTTCACTCTTTTGAATGAGTTGCTTGACATTGGCGTGAAGATGATTTAATTGCCAAACAAGTCTCTCCGTTTTTCTAAACAACGAATAGTCATGAGAATGAAGAAAGACATGTCTAGCTGCTCCTGCGTACAGAGAATTATGTATGGGCCTACTACTTGAATTATTATTGCCAGTGTTGGATCTCATGTTGTAATGATATGAAGTATCTACAATGCCATCGTTGTTCAATGTACCATCGTTGGAATTTAAATTAGAAGTAATATTATCATTTGTGGAAATAATGAATTCGTGTTGCTGATGCGTGGGTGAAGTCGGAGATTGTTGTGCCCACATTTGGGATTATTAAATAATTTCTAAATAATTATATGTTGAAGTTCTTGAATATATGACCTAATATTAGCGTTCAGATAAATAACATGATCGGAATGATTGAGAGTGATGATTGACGAATGAACACGTCGATGAAACAATTTTTTTTGAAAGGTATTGGATTGGCCAACAAAAAATTCCCCCCTAAACGATGAAGCAGGTGGCATGGGATGATGATTTGCTTGAAGAATACAAGAAATCGTTTGCTGATAGCAAATCTGATGATGAATTGAGTGATTGGTCGGAAGAGAACGACTCTGCCGAAGAAAGAGAATCAACGGAAATACAATTTAAAAATCAAAACGCCAAACAGAAATTCCCATTTCGGAACATTGAAGATCAATTCATATCTGGATCATCAACCAATATTTCGGGTTTTTTTGGAACAATAGACGAAGGAGAAACATTACATGATCATAATATTGATGACACAAAATATTATAGCTCGCTTTTTGGTGATGAAAATGATCACCATGACACAGAATGTATCAATAACGTTCAATCAATACCCCTTGCCAAAAAAGAATTGTTTTATTCTCTCAATTTTGATCCTAACAAGTTAATAACTGTTCATGTCCCTTTTACTCACTTCCCACATCAGCAACTATTTGAACACTACACAATATACAAAATATCACAAACACCTCCTCTTGGAAATTATAGAGTCGTGACTCCTTGCAACCACATGGTAAAACAACATGATTTAATCAGAGAGATATTTTCAATGCTCAGGGGTCATGAAGGGTCTATATTCAAAATCAACAATCATGGATCTTTTGAACTATC